GCCCCCCGGCCGCCGAGCCCCCGGAGCCCCCGGGCCGTGGCCGCTCGGCGCTGTGGCGCTACGGACTGGCCGTCGGCTGCGGCGCCGTCGGTAAGGGGCCGGCCGGTGGGCGCGGAGACCCAGGGTGGGTCCTCGAGCGCCCTCCTCACGAAGGGGGTGCTGGCAGGGTGGGCTGACTGCCGCGAGCGCGCCTCACCCGCCTGTGCTCTCCCTGCAGGGACCCTGGTGCTTGGCGCTGGCCTCCTCTTCTCCGTGCGCTCCGTGCGCTCCGTGGTGCTGCGGGCCGGCGGGCGGCAGGTGACCCTCACCACGCACGCCCCCTTTGGCTTGGGGGCCCCTTTCACGGTGCCCCTGAACCAGGTCTCCTGCATGGCCCACCGGGGTGAAGTCCCTGCCATGTTGCCCCTGAAGGTCAAAGGCCGGCGCTTCTATTTCCTCTTAGACAAAGCTGGATACTTCCCCAACACACAGCTCTTTGACAATACTGTGGGTGCCTACCGGAACTTGTAAGGGGTCGCCCACGCACGCCACGCACCCGGGAGATGAGCGGGACGTCAGGGATGGGAGAACCGCTGGGGTCACGCAAAGGTACCAGAGATCCTGAGCAGAAAATAAAGGCATGAGCCTCGCAGGTTTTCCCAAAGAGGAGGCTGGCGGTACCCGAGTTTTCATCCCTGCTTGTCGCCATCACCATCCTGCCCCCGAGCGGTTATCACCAGCGAGTCGGTAGGAAGACGAAGGAAGACAGTCCTATATTGTGGTACAAAAACAGCCATGGGCAAAGGGGAATATGCTTCCCTCCGGAGGAGCCCAGGCTCCTGGCACAGCGCGGGTGAGGGGAAAGCAAAGCAGATGAGAGGCACTTGGGTCTTCAGCGGCAAGAAGCGCTAGCTTTGGCCGGTCACACTTCAGGAGTGAGGATGGTGACTCCCAAAGAGAGCGTCTGCCTCAGAGCTCCACTCGGGGTCCCCCTTCTCCAGAGGCCGGAATGGGGTGGCTTCCAGCTTCCACTGCAGGCCTTGGAGCACCAGGACCACACACCACAGCACCAGGTTCACCCACGAGGCGGCCTGTGGGGTGGGGGGGAGGGAAGGGGGCAAAACGTGGGGAGTGAGGAGCGAAGGCCCCTCCCCTCAGCTCCTCCCCCCACCCGCTCCTGTGTGCTGTTGGCTGCCCACAGCAGTCTCTGGTGAGCTAGCGTCCTTTTCAGCAGCTCGCTTAGTGAGGGCCCAGTCCCCTAGGGCTCATGTCCGAGGGTCTCACTTCAGCATTATGTAGACTGGAGTAAAACTGCAAGGCGGTCCCTGGGGGTGTCCATGAGATTTTCTGGGCTTCCTGGCAGCTGTGAGGCCAAAGAGTCAGTTAATAAGGGCAGCGGGGAGGGTAAGTTTATAGCCCACCCGTGCCCAGGCCCCTAAGCAATGAAGGTAAATGCTACAGCACTGCCCCCACCCCTAGGCCCCCTGCATAGGACAGAGAGGTGGGGAGTCCCAGGCAGGATGCCCCCACCGCACCTCCTGTTACCTAGCTACAATCTTCAGGGAGACA